GACTCATCTACTACCTCTCTTAATACAGAAATAAAAAATAGAAGTTTCAAATCTCAGTTTAAATCTATTTGTATATCTGACCCAGTACCTAGCAGTAACTCAATACTAGTTGATACTGACAACTCTACAAAAAAAATAACTAGCAAGAATCTGGATGCATTATATAAAAAAGAAGCTAAAAGAGATAAAAAAAATATAATGAATATAACTTATCTACTAGCTACTAGATAGGTCTATCTTTTCTTTATTTATGTTATCATCTCTAGAAAAAATATATTCAAGTAACTTTTTATAATGTGTTTGCAACTTTTCAAAAAGAGCATTTATTTCAGTCTTAGACTCAAAAGTAGTGTATAGTGATTTTTCTAACTCCTCATAGCTTATGCATTTTTTTTTAAATTCTAATCATTAGAATTTATATTAAAATTCACAGAAGCTGCTATTGCTTTTGTGAAATTTGATCAAATACTAGAGATATATTATTCTGAGATACAGTTGCACAGTTCACTTTGAGATTATTCTCAACTTTGTGTATATTTTAGTCAAGGATATTACCAAAAATGGACAGTGCTAATCACACCATTTATAGTAATAAAATGTCAATCATATAATTCTAGAGATTTCAAAAGAACATTCATGTAATTGGCTAATTAATATACTGTATATTGAATACTGAAATATAACTGTATAAGTGTGAAAATAACACCCAGAGGAATAATAGCCTGAATTAAGAAATTAAACACCTGCACGTTATTTCACGCCTATATGATAAAGTGATCCCAAACAAGAATGTTTTTGAAATGTCATATCAGAATCTCAAAATTTTATCTCAATTAAAATAAAATTATAAGTTAAATATATTGTATCTGGTATTTAAAATTCGAATTTAAAATTATGTTTTCAGAAAAGCTTAATTAAATTATTAGTATTTCAACAAATTTTTAATGTTAATTATAATAATTTTAAAGAGTTGAGTTAAACTCGACATCAAGACCCTTTACGTCAACTCAAATCAAAATTAAAAAAAAAAAAGATTTTTGCATTAATTAATTTTATGAAATAATTTTATAACAATAAAATTAAATTATACATAATGCAAATCTGTAGATATTAAAATACAAACAAACATTACTCGAGTTGGGTTTGGGTCAACCCTAAACTCGACCTAAATGACTCTTTTGAAGCACTAGTTCATTATATCAAATTATACTAATTTTTTTTTTTTGAGAATGTTCTGAAAGAATAAAATATTCTTAAATAAAAGGACCTTATTTTGAATATTCATAAAAAAATTGAATCTTTTTTGGAAATTAATTTTAAACAGTAATTTAAATCACATCTGATTTTAAGACATTTTATTTATATTTTGTAAGTTAATTTACACAGTGCATACATTACTAATTTTGAACTTTCTGTATCATATAACACATCCGATATTTAACAAGATAAGATTAATGGTGTTATACTATGTAGTCCCAGAGGTTTTACAGAGAAATTCATTTACTCAAGTGGCAAACATTTACAGCCTCAGTATCATTATGATCAGTGTTTGTAATGGACCCAATTGGATCCAGCAAATGATCAAATTGTTCCAATTTTTAGGTCCAATTGGGTCCATTACAAACGCTGATGATAATAAAGTTAACAATGAAGAGGAATGTGTTTATGGTGGGTTTTTTGATTCTAACTTTCAATAAGAATTTGTTACATTGAATTACCATGATTCAGATAAAAAAAATGAATAAAAATTCATAACAGTTAATCTCATATTTGTGTCAGTAATACTGTAATAAGAAATTGTATTTTAATCATGATGCAATAATTTTATAATTAAGGATAATAATACATTAATGAATTTCTTTGATATAAATTATATCATAATTATTGTATACAACTTTAAATTTTAAATTATTATTACTTATTTACCAAAAATTTAAATAATAATTAATATTAAATAATTATATATAATCAATTTAATCCATAATAATTTGCAATTTTATTTTATTTAAATAAAAAAAAACACATTTAACTCTTTTAAAAAAAATTATACAGTATTGTTTTTAAAAATTTAATAGTTATAAGTAACAAAATTACCAAAATACAACTTCAAATCGAGAAGAATTCTAATTCAAACTGGCATATTCTACTTGTTTGTTTCACTTTCCAGTATCACTAAATTTTGAATATAATCACAATTGTCAGATTTATTATTTGAATTAATTAAAGACCTTACTTCTTCCAATATGATTAATAATTCGCTATGCTTTTTTGATTTAATTCCATGATATTTTTTTTGAACAATCTTATCTGTACATTCAAGAAGCACTTCTATTTTGCAAATAATTTCTGCATTTGTCATAGATGCTTCACTTGTTTGCATCGTAGCTTCTTGTTTTGTAATCAGGATTTGCCTAAATAAAGGAGCTAAACTATTATTAATAAAGACATTAGTAATATACTTACTCTGAGCTTGCTTAGCCAAATTAGTGAGATCTATTAATTGTGAACTTAGTTCATATTCTTCTCCCAAACTTTTATAATCAATTTTCAAGCCCATTGTTGGATTAGTGAAATTATCTTTTCTTAAATAGGCTCAAAACCTCTGGCATTCCATAATTGCTTCTGGCCAGATCCTTGAACCAGTTGTTTGAGAATCATTATATCCAATTAAATTGAAGAAATTATTTTGCAGCTGAATTTAAAATATAAATTAATTTATACAAATTTAAATTTCAAAACTGAGTTATAAATAATTATATATATATCTCAAAGAACATTTTACAATTTTGAGCAGCAATCTTCCAATGTCTTATTTGTGAAACAGAAGGTATTACTGTTTTTAGTACCTTATTAATTTCTTCCAGAATTGCATCTAGCTCTTGATGCTGGTTAAAGAATCCCGACTGAGAAACTACACAATTTTTCTCTATAATATCTCTTATCATCAGATCAAGCTGCATAAATTGTATTTCATTAGCAATTTCAATTTGACAATATATCAGATGCCTTCACACAGACCATATTGGAGAAAAAACCCTTTTGGCTGCTCTTTTCAATAATGGAATATTTTCTCTAATTGCTGTTCTGTAATTAACAATGGCTTGAAGATAAATAAATGTCTATTAAAAAAAATTTGATTAGTAAAAATTACAAATATATGGATTATGAATGGCAAATATTTTAAAATATGATATTAAAAATTGATGTAATCATGATTTAAAATTATATAATGCAATTTGTATTGTATTTATTATGATTATGAACAATTATAAAAAATTACCTGTTCGAATTTTACTTGATAAAGCAGATCATTTTGCATCTTTACCCAGGACAAATATCCTTTAACCGATGGAATAGGATGGCTTTTAACATATGGCCATATTAATTCCATAGCAATAGCTTGTTGATAAATATTACAGATCGAATCCTATGACTTAAAATGGTCATAACATTTTTTAAAATCATTAAGTTGGCTGTTGGTCTTATATCCTTAAAATATTGTAAACTGTTTAAGATCAATATTCCTGTTTTAAGTAATTAAAATTAAAATTAAAAACAAAAAAAAAAAAAATTTTTTTAAAATAATAAAAACCTACTAATTTAATTCTACATATGCTCGAAGCATATTCATTTTCTCATGCAATTGCCCAGAAACAAGAACCAACTATTGATATTTGTCTTTAATTTTGGCTATTCGATGATATGAAATGCTGTCACATGTCACAACTGTCTATTTACGAGTTTCATCTTTAATTCCTGTAATATTTTCAATATGAAGAAGAACCTTTTCAACATTAGCAGTTATATTAGAATTAATATCAAGAGGATCAGAAACAAATATTTCTGGAACATTAACTTCTTGATCAGCAAGCATATTTTAAGTGATACTAATTTTTGGTGCATTAGATTGTCGAGTTTCCTTTTCAAAATTATATGATTTAAATAAGATCAGTCTGTCTGTTATATTCTTAACTTCTTTATATTTTTTCAACATTTCTGCCAATGTAGGTAGATGGGATTTACACTTGGGGCAAACTTGCTTTTAGTTGTCAATATTTTTTTCTTTACAATTCGGGCATTCTTTATTACAATGACTAAAACCTATATTAGATACAAGTAAATCAATCGTATTAGTCATAGATAACTTTTCTTTACACAAAAGATCAATTATTTCAAAAATAAAAGCATGCAATTCTTGATCTATAATTTCTTGCATTTTAGGTGTAATATTGAAAAAGCTTTCATATTGTTCCTTACTAAGTGAACTAATAACCCAAAGCATATTAGTATGCTAAATAAAATTTTGAGAGCTCATATTAAAAGCAACAAAACTAGTGACAATATGAAATATAACTGTATTAAGTCTTCAGTCCAAATAATTTTTTTGTTCTCTTTGTTCATTATCGAATGCTAAAAATATAAGACCTTTTGGTAATATTTCCTCTTTGTTACTTAATTTGTTTAGCCAATTCTGAAAACTAGAATAACTTTCCATGCTTGTAATATGATTATTAACATTAATGATAGTTTTTGACTGAGTGATGGAATATTTGATGGCTGATGCCATGAGACCCACTTCTACACATATTTTCAATACCTAGATCCATATACTGAATCAACAGCTATGACCTTTTTAAAAAGTTTTTCAGCACTTTCAGATCCCGTATCAAAACTATTACTAGTTAGAGTTTCGATAAATTTTATGACGACTGGATTACATTGGCTTAGCCATGATTGTAAAGTATAATTTAATAGATTTCTAAAGAAAATCTATTATTATTTCTAATAAGAGCTTCAACATCATCATATAATGTTTTTCATTCGATTAGTGCAATATCAATAATGGCCTGAATACACCTATGCTGATCGTTATAATAAGAATTCCATCATTCAGTTAATTGCTCATTTGCTTTACACTGTTTTTTATATAGCTCTCTTAACTGAGCTATTACTTGATGACATTCTTCAAGTTGTTTGTTTAACTTTGATATAACTTCTTCTTAATTTTCTACTTGCCATTGTAAATCTGTAATTATATACATATTATTTTCTGCAACTCTTTCAAATTCTGACAAATGGTGTGATACATCATCGACACTCATTTCATCAGTATTGAAACTATCATTAAGTCGAGCTTTCTTATTAGAACTACCTAAAAAGTATTGATAAAAGTTATTAGTATATATGGCTTGATTATAATGGTTTACACAAATAGAAAATTTAGAAAATTGTCGATCTCTAAGCTCCAGTATAAGATTTCGAAATGCTTCAAGCTTTCTAGCCGCCAATGATCCATCAGCGTTTCTTCAATGTTCTGAGTTTGGAGGCATTCCACAATCATTTAAACCTTGTTCTTTATAATTACAAACTAGATCAAGAAATATGCAAGGAAGTTTCTGAGCTTTTGATCTTTGCTTAGTTGTTAAGAATTCTGACATTGTTTTTAAACTTTAGTTGATATTTTTGAAGCAATGTTAGTTTTATATATATATATGTTGTGAATTTTCATATTACATTTACCTTTTTTTAAAAAATAGTTTATGAGAAGATCCTTACTGATTATTAATTTAAAAAAGTTTTCAAATTTTTATATATCAATATCGTTCAACACAAATAGAATACCAAAAATGCAAAAATTTTGGCTCTAAAAAGACCGTCAAGAGCCAATCAAAATTTGCGAATCATGGTAGATTATTCTCCATTTTTGGTAATATTCCTGATTGTAATAACAGTTCAAAGTAAAAAAAATCTTCTACTTTCAAATTTAATTTATTTATTTTGTTGGTTTTTATTTTTTCTTAAAATAACAATCTGTTATTACAAGTATATTATTTATATAAGCTGAATTGTTTATTTTTATCATTTTGTACAATATCTGACTTCAATCATTCTGTTAAAAAAATAAGTTCAGAAATTAAAATATAGTTTATAAAATACTTGTAAGTACAAAATTGATCTTTATGACACAAATTAATTATTAATATTTACCTATTTTTTTCTTTATTTTTTATAATTTTAATTTCAAAATAAAATTCCTACTGTGAAGGAATTGGATAATTTGCTCAAATTATGGTAGCTTTATAGCTTCAGGATCTTTAGGATTTTTTAATAAAGGTTATTGATAATATTTAATTAAATTACAATGACTAATACTCATTAAGTCAAGATGTTAATTCAAATATATTCATCTTAGCCATATAATCTACTTTATGTCCATGTTAATAAAGAATAATTTATCTTTACATCCCATGTGGTCAGTAAAACAATACCATTGTATAGAGTTGCCACTTTTAAATTATTTATTGAGTTAAAATTCTTTCAAATCTTTGTGTTAGATATTTAGTGAGCCAAATAAATTATAAAAGAACTAATTAATTTTGTACTTACATACATATACGAATACAAAGTGAAAATTTACTGGAAAAGTATAACTGATGCATCAGCTGCGTAAGCGGCAATACATCAATAATACTTTTTTAGTAACTTCAATGGAACTGTATTATTTTATTTCAAAGACATCCCATTTTATCGACACATATTTCACTAACAAGCAATTTAATTTTTTAGAAAGTATATTTTATCAACAGCCTATTTTACAGACAAGTTTTTTTTTTATAATTCACGCTAACTTTAGTTCTAATTTCAAATCTAATCCTAATGACAATAATTTGAATTACTTTGTTTATGAATGGGCTGTCAGTAAAACATACTATCTGCAAAGTAAACCATTCTGTCAACTAAATCGTCTGTAAAATAAGTTTTGTCAGTGAAATATGCATCAGTAAAATGAGGTGTCTTTGAAGTAATTGTCTGTGAGTTGATCAAAACTACCTTCAATATACTTACTGAATATAGCTATTATAAATAGATTTTCTATTAACTAAAATCAACGTAAATAAAACAAAAACTGCACAAGTATTATACAATAACCTATGAATTAAGAGTCTAAAATAATGAATAATAATCTTTTTTTGCAATAACCAAGTCAACACAAATAGTTATAGGATATTATTGTACGATAATAAATAAAATCCGAGTAGATATGTTAATAAATTATGCTTACTGTAAAAATAAAATAAAATTGAGATCTGATTAGTGAATAAAGTGCATAAATCAGATTAACATGAACAAAAGAAATTAAAGAAGCATTGCATAGTAGAAGTGTCTTTGTTCTCAATGCTTGCCTTGATCATAAAGTTTTTAGGTTTTATTCAAATTTATTTTAAGAGAAAAAGAAAACACTTATTTTAATAAAAAATTAAATATGAATTTCTATATAATTTCAAGTCTTATTTATCTTTTTAAAAATCTAGATCATAAAAGGATCACAATGGATTATAAAACTATAGGTTCTTAACTTTCTTTTCATATATCATTTAGCTATGGTTAGATACTGCGAGCTCTTCTGAACTTTAGCTCAAAAACGATTATCAATAACCAATCAAAGCTTGGCAGATCATTCTAGAAATGTTCTAGAATCGATTTTTATTTATGATAATATCTCTGACTAATATATATAAATATAAATATATATAAATATATATTTTTTAAATATAATAATAGTTCAAAATGTATTAACTCTGACAAAACTTTTAACCTACATGCCAACTTCCTAGATATTGCATACTTTGTAGCTATCTGACATCCTTTATATATTCCACCTTCTTCTTCATTAACAATCAATCTACAACAACTACCTTGCATCTTTCAATTATGCCAACTTACTAACAGTTTACAGTCTATTGCCAATTCCAATTATAATCTAACTACTATCTCATTTTATACTGATGGTTCTGTTATTGAGCTTGGTACTTCTCAGTGCTCTATAGGTATAAGATAGGTCCAAGTTGACAACTCTACAACTATCCACTCTTTTCAGGCACAAGTTAAACTTTGACCATGCTTCTTTAAAGCTAAAATTCTTGCTATCCTCTCAGCAATTATTACTGCTCCCAGAAACTGTTCTGTTCATATCTTTACAGACTTACAATCTGTTATCTTCAAATATCACAGTATCTGCTTATCATTCTCTAAACTTTCTCATATTCATACTCCATACTTCTTTATTTGGCAAACTCTTATCAATTTTATTAACTTATATAATATCTAGCTTACTTTTTACAAAGTTACTGCACACCAAGATGATCCATTTAATAATCTCGCTGACAACTTGCTCATAGTTACCAAATACTACCTTTTTTAATATTCTCAACTAACAACCCTTATAACTCTGCCTATACTCTATTTTATAACCAATTTTCTATTAAAATTCCTATTCATTACTCTATTTGTACTATTTGTCAAGCTTATATTATAACACTTTGGACATCTTAACATCATTTTCAACAATGGTCTATTATTGTATCTAATATTAATTGGGAAGCTATTTGGCTTTACATTAATAACAATCAAAAAATCTCTAACTTTGCTCACAGTTTTCATTCCTCTATTTTAAAAACCTTTC